TGCTATGGCCCCACACCCTCATCCGCACTCCCCACCACCGTTGGTGGTGCTCCAAAGGAGACAGGGCCTGATTAGAAGGCGGGACTTTCTGAGAATGCTGGGTTTCTAGGAGAGAATTGCTCACCGGGAAGATGTCTGAAGTGTGAGGCGCGTGCCGAGGGGGCAAACTGACAGGAAGAGGAAGGGAGATCCTCTCCCACCAGGGAGTACCCTCCGACACGCTAGAGAACCGCTGCATGCATTTGTCATGCATGTGTGGGCATCTATACTATGGTACAGGATGACCATCATACAATTGTATAATTCTTTACAGTTCCGAACCCTGTGAGTTAGGTAAGGGCATCTGGTCTAAACACTATACCCATTAAATAGGTTTGGAAACTGAGACTTGGATTAGCTAGCTTGTCTAAGTAACAACTAAATGGATGGATATGCATGTCATGACTTTAAACTTCTGACTTCAAAATTGGCATGTTTGGACATACATAGATTTTCATAGCAATAGGAATATGAATTGTCTTCTGTTATCTGCTCTGGACAGTACCAATCAGTCATCTACTCTGTCCATGTAAAGGCTGTAGCTGTTTGCCTGCCTCTTTAGAGTTACTCTCCTTGTCCATAGCTGGCTAGATAGAATGATGTCATCATGAAATTATGAAACAGAAAATGCATCATACCCTGGTCCGTTTTCTGCTGCTGTGTGATGCCATGCACTGGGTTAGTCACAAAGAAAATATTCATTTTGGTTCATGGTTCAGGCTCAGAGTTCATCTGATGGCCTTCGCAAAGCCCAGAAGTAGGTGCTATAAGTTCGTTCTAGAGACACAGCCAAACTGGCTTTTATGACAGACCCACTTTCCAGATGACCCATTAACCATTAGTTCACTGATTACATGGGCAGATTAATTCATTCATGAAGGCAGAGTCCTGATTACCATAAATGGAGATTATAAGTTAGTCTGTCTCATTGTGTAGTGTGGGGCAGCTCAAGTCTCTGACCCCAGAATGTAGGAGGCTGCGGTTTAAGGACGTGGAGTTCAAGGCCAGATAGGATTTTGTTGTGGTTGTTTGTTTGTTTGTTTATATTATGCCCAATTTCCACATGAATAATGCAATGGTTTTTTTAGACAGTGCCTCACTATGAAGCTCAGGCTGTCCTGGAACTTGTGCTCTTACTTCAGCCTCCAAAGTGTGAGAGTCACCATGCATTTAAGCCCAAAGGAAGAGATTTGCCCCCAAGAAACCACACAAGGACAAATGGAAAGCATGACCTATGCAGAGTAGCCACTGTGATGCTTAGGGAATTATGGGGTGGCTTTAGGGTTAGTAAAATGACGTAGAGCTTCAGGAGGCTGCTCAATTTCCTTGTTCTCCAGTGTGTCATGAGATGGGATCTCACTGTACTGCTCAGGGTAGCCTTGTACTGCGTGCGTGCGTGCGTGCGTGCGTGCGTGTCAGCCTCCCTGGTAGCTGGGGTACAGGTGTTCCTCAGTGTCTACTTTGCGTTTCACTGCATGATGGGATAAACATAAGTGTGACACTAAAGTTTAGCTTAGAAGAAACTTAATTTGAAACCAAATTGCACAGGAAGCACAGATTTCTAGATGAGGTGCAAACACCGGGGCCAGGCTGCCTGGTTTAGATTCTAGCCCTCATCGTTCGCTTTGGGCAATACGATCTCTATCTCAATTTGATCATCAATAAAATGGAGACGATAAACTTATCTGTCGGAAGAAATGAGTCAGTGTGTGGAAACTTAACCGTGCCCCATACTACAGAGTAAGCATAGTTAGGATGAATACCGTGCTGTTTCTGTGATAGCCGGCCGGCAATCAGTTCGATCCTCTACAGCCTTGGAGCTGGGTACCGCAATTCGTTGCTCTCGGGCCAGAACCCACCACACCGTTCAGCTATTATGGTTCTGTGTTATAAATAGAAAGCTCAACATAGAAAGTGACCATTCCTGAGGTTAGTTAGGGCTTCGAGCCTGGGCAGTCAACACTGTCCTTGCAAGCAGAGTGACTTGTGGCACGCCCTTGCTCAGGAACCATACTTATACCACTTAAGTATGCATTCCTGGCGTGAAAATTCAGTTGGGGCTGGTTTGAGGGTTTCAAGCTGCTAATGGGAGCAGCTGGGATCTCCTCCTGCTCTGACTTAACACTGTGTTGCTCAGGTGCAGTTCCTTTAGAATAAATTTTCATTACCCGGTATCATCAGTTACTTTGACAGCAGCAAAAGTTAATCATTTCAGTGTGCTTCCTTTTTCCAAGACAGGGTTTCTCTGTAGCTTTGGAGCCTGTCCTGGAACTTGATCTGTAGACCAGGATGACCTCAAAAGCACAGAGATCCACCTCCTCTCCCTTCTGAGTGCTGGGAGTAGAGGTGTGAGCTACCACTGCCTGGCTCAGTTAATTTCTATCCCCGGGAATGAGTACGAGCCATTCAGAGCGGCGGTCTTCTGGTCTTGCCTTGCTGATCATATGTACATGTGTTTTCTTTATGATTGTGGCTGCCAGTGACTGTTGTTACTCTCCACTCTGGCTTGCCCGTGTGTTCTTTCTGTTAAATGCTATATGTATGTATGTGTGCACGTGTCAGTAGCTCAGAGGCCAGACCAGAGCATTGGATCCCCTGGAACGAGAGTTGCAGGTGGTTGTGAGTCACCATATGGGAGCAGGGAACCTAACCCAGGTCCTGTAAGAGCAGTAAGTGCTAAGACATCTATCTCTCCAGTCCCCATATTTATTTGTTTTTTGAGACAGCAACTCTCTCCATGGCCCTGGCTGTCCTGGAACTCACTATGTAGATCAGGCTTGTCTCTAACTCAGATCACTAAGCAGCTTCCCAGTGCTGGGGTTAAAGGCATGCCCCAGCCTTATTATTTGAGACAGTGTCTCATATCACCTAGACCTGGAATTACAGGTGCCCACTACTTCCGGCTTCCCCATTGTTTGAAGGTTCTGTTAATGTCTGGAATACTTGCCGGTAATGTTTCTAGACTTTTGCCTTGCCCCTCTAGATTCTTTATTTGTTGCCATTTGCTCGCTACCCGTTTACTGAAGATTACACAGCAGTGCCTTTGCTGGAAATCAAGCGTCCATTGCGTGTACACTTATGGTGTTTGAGGTGGTCATGTGTGGTTTAGACTGGCCTTGAATTCTAGTCCTGCCTTACCTTGTGGATTCTGAGATTAGAGGTGAGCTCTTGGCTCTGGGTTCTCCATTTCACTGTCATATAGGTACGTTTGGGTTCTATGAAGGAAAAGCATATGACAGAACAGTGAACTTGCTGATACCGTTACATCTTAACTCAGCCACTTCCCAGGGCAGTGGCTATGCAAATAGGTCACAGATGGATTCCCATTATCAGTCTCATATATGAGAAATAAACATGTTCCATTCGGTATCAATATATGCACTTTTACAGTAAAAAAAAAAAAAAAAAAAAAAAAAAAAAAACTACACGATCCCAAAACCAACGACTTCAAGTGTCTTTATGCCACGAAACAGTCTCATTCCCTAAACACCAGCCCCAGAGGCTCAAGCTTCAGACTTGTACCAGTTACACAGAGCTGTATCTTCACGAAGCTTGGAAGATGGTGTGAGCTTGAATTTCAGACTAATGGCCTGATTTGCCAAGTTCCACCTTGTAGTGCAGCACTAAGTAGGCCGAGGTGGGCTGGTGTAATCCACGTTGGTGATAGATGAAATTTTAGAGGTTTACATGTAGACACACATAGGCTTTATGTCAGTCACTAAAGGAGGATATGCTGTATCTGCCACCAAACGTTGTCTATTGGATCATGAGGCTTCCAAGGATTTTGCGGAGTTTATCTTTACACTTCAGTTGCATTGGGGTGGGGGGAGATGATTTTAAAGCAAGGGGGGAAGGTAGTTAGGTCCCCACTTCATGAAAGTTTTTAGCCACTGGGAGGCAGGTTCTGCAGGACCCATGACCCAGGGGACCTGGAGACTTAGCTTAGTTGGCGTATGTAAGCCTGCCTTGCCCACCATTGGCTACAGGCAAGGCTGAGGTCCTTGAGCTGGTGAGTGTGGAATCCTTTCCTCTGGACTCCACTCTACAAGCCATGGATTGGAGAGGTGCGAGCTGAGCCTAGCGCTCCTAGGAATGTCTCACTCAAGTCCACCCTCAGAGCAAGCATCATCCCTCAGCAGGGCCACTAGGTGGATTAGCGTTCTTCCCTGTCTGCAGGAATCCCGTCCTTTGTGCTGCTGTTGGCAGTATTGGCACTGGGGTCAGTCTAATACCTTCCTATTCCTCCGGACACCAAAAGGTCCCTTTGAAAGCAAGGATGATTAGCACAGTGAGTGCTGTGTGCAGCTGAGCTCCTGAGAGCGCTTCAAATACTAGGGATAGGCGCTGAGAAACCTGGGCTGAGGCAGCAAGGGGTAGGCCAGCTCCGTTTTAGCAGATCTGGGGAGTCTGTGCCATCACCCATGTCTTGGCTCCTTGGCCCCAGGCAAAGCTTTTATGCTCTGATCAGAGGTGATGTCTGTCCATAGTGTTCAGTTATAGCCCGGGGGCTTCCCGGGGCAGATTTCCCAGCCACGTTATAGGGGGTGGAGGAGGACACGGACCGAAAAGAGAGCCACAAATCCTGGGCTCTCTCGGTGGAGACAGCAGCCCTTTTCCAGGCCTGCCACTCAAGACCTTTCCCAAACTGTCCTGAGATCCTCGCTGGCCGTGTTCTAACTGCCCAGTCCAGACAGGTCTCAGGGCAGAGGCACCTCGAACAATCCTGGCTTTGTCGCGAAGACTCTGTCCCTCATTTCCAGTCTGTGGCTCGGTGTCTAACCTCTCTCCAGCCCCGGAGACCCGGAAGGCGGCGCAGGCTCCCGGGTGGGGAGGGGGGGAGGAGAAGGAGTCACCGGGCATGGGAGCGCAGCCGGCCCGCGCTCGCAGGAACCCCGCGCGTGGGAGGGCAGCCGGGGGTTCGGGGGCGCGCGGGGCGCCCCTGAGGCTCAGGCCGTTCGTCCGTTCGTACTGCCGGCCTGGTCTGAGCTTTCTTCCCGCACCCTCGAGGTCGCGATGGGCTCATTAAGCCGGCAGGTAGGCAGTGCCGTGGCGGCGGCAGGCGGTCCTGGAATGTGCGAGGGGCGTGATGACAGCTACTGCCGCCGGCCTCTTTGCGCAACCCCTTCACCGTATATATACCGGGCGCTCCGCCGCGCTCCGCCTGGGTGCCTCCTGCAGTCCCTCACCTGCGAAGGGAACGCTGGTGAGTACCCCGCCGCCGCTGCTAGCTGCTACCCCGACGCCGGCTGCTTCTGCCCTCACCGACCTCCACTGAGCTTTTCTTTCCTCCTTCTTTAAGTGTGACTTCATTCTTGTAGACGCCCCTTCATGCTGAGCACAAGAGACCCCACACTGCTTTACTGTCCCTAGGCTGCAGGGGAGGAAGGAAATAGAGCGTGTCTTTCCGAAACTTTGCGATCTTTTACTGTCAGGACGAATCTTGGGACACCGGTGAGATGGGCGTGCTTCACCTGGAGCTTTTGTGATAGCTGCGTCTGAGTGGCTTCGGGTGGGATCTACCCGGCCGGGCTCACTCTTTGGGTCACTACCCGTGTGACTCTTCTTCTGGTCCCTGCCACGCAGTTGCCCCCCTGGTGACAACCTGAGTCTTTTCTGCAAATTACAGGCTTCTGGCTGCTGGAGGAGGAGTCCCCCCTCTAGGGGGACTCAGCCAAAGGCTTCTTCTGCCCCTCGGATGTGTTGAGCAGAACCCTTTTAAGGCAGAGGGTACTAGGCTGCGAGGGGTTAGTAACTTGAAGGAAGAGTATGTGCACAGGATTGGGGACACCCAGCGTTTTCTGACCAGAAAGATGGGAGTGTCTGTTTTGGGAGCTCAGATTCCATGGGGTCAGATGCCTGCCCTAGGTACTGTGGTTATTTTCTTAAACCTGTGCTTTTCTACTTTTGAGGGTCTTCCAGGAGAGTTTTGTCCTAGCAGGAATGGCTGTTAATCCCCTGCCCCATTTCCTGACTTGCAAAGTGTAACTTGCCCTCTGTTAGGCATTTCTGGAAAACCTGAGCCTCCCCTCAGTGGCCATTGTTTGGGATTCAGAGACTGTCTTATCCCATGCCAGCTGATAATGACCTTTTCTGTTTTGTAAGCTTGTAAATGGATGGCAAGAAGGGAAGGCTTTGTAATAGTTTTGGATGCTACACAAGTTACAGCTCTCCTCTACTCCAACCTCCTCTGTAGCTGCTAGATAGACACAAGCCAGGCACAAAAAAAAAAATCACAAAGCATTTGGGGAATCTGATTTGGGGTACAAGTGTTCTCAATAATGACTGCAACATACTTATGCTCACAAATTCAACTTTTTTAAACTCCCCTAAACAAGGAAGCATATAGTTACAGGTCAAACTACAAAACTCATTTTCAACCAAGGATGCAAACTCAGAACCTTATCATGCTAGGTAGCCACTATGCCACTGAGACATACACCACCAGCTTTGGGATTTTTGAGACAGAGTCTCATATGGATCATCATAGTCTTGAATCAGTTATCCCCGGGCCTCAGCCTCCCAAGGGCTGGGATTATAGACTTGCCCTAACACACCTGACTAAAAGTTAAATCTCATGAATACAGTTTTATGTGGGCCTAACTTTATAGAGATAGGCTAAACATCTACTAAAAAATTAGTTAGTGCCATTCACATAAGGTCTAAAAGTAAAGCTACCCAGAACAGTTAGTTGCCCTCCCCAAACAAGGTCTTGTTATAGCCCAGATCAACCTCAGACATGGCAATCCTCCTGCCTCAGCTTTTGCAGGCTTGGGATTCCAAGCATGTACCACGACCACCACCTAGCATCTTCTGATCACATCCTTCACTCCCCCTTCAGGTTTCCTGATGCTTAAAGGAAGCTGAGGCAAAGCAGCTATTATACCCTTAGTGAGTCTGGCTCGTTCTTTCAAAGCATGAGAACTTTGCAGGCCTATAGAGGACATCGGATGCATGGAGTTGAATTGTCTCTGAAGCCGCAGCAATCCTCTGTGACTGAGCAATTTTTCTGTTTCTTGTAACATAAAGTTAGCACCACCAGTTATCACCCTCTGGAGAATGGTGTTAGAGTTGGTCTCAAAGATCACTGATAGCTGGGTGCACACCTGTAGCTCCGCCTTTGGAGAGGCTGAGGCGGAAGGATCTCCCTAAGCTAAATGGTACATCCCGACTCCCCCTCCAAAGTGCTTGACATTGAGCTGGGCTGATCAGTGTGTGTGACTCCCTGCCGGTCAGTGTCAACCTCCCGGTGTTCAGGGGTCATTCTTGTGCTGTGGCCAAACCTGGTGTGAGGGCACAGGACCACTGACCTGAGCCATTTCCCTTTTCTTGGGCTTAGACTGAATGCAGCTGGCCCCTGTCATGTCCTGGATGGAGAAGCACAAACAATTACAAAGTAAAGTAAAGGGTGTGGGTGACTGCCAGGTGCCCTGCACTTTCCTGTTTGGTGAGTCCCAGAAGAGCCCAGAAGTTTCCCCTTCTGGGCCTGCCTCGGAGGAATGAGTTCCTCTTGGCATCGTGTGTGACCACCTGAAGTGGATTCAAGAGCGAAGCTCCCATCCAGCTCTGTAGTGATGGGCCGGGTGTGGGCTCAGTGTGCGGCCCTTGTGATAGTTCTCGGTCTTGCTGGGCAATGACACCCTTGTTCGATGGAGGGCTTCACTCCGTGCTGGCTGCTTCTGTCAGAATCCGAGTGCAGAAATACGGTGTTGGGGGGAAGTAGAAGGAACAATGGCATCTGGAAGTAGAAGAAACCTGTGGAGGGCCCCTCCTTCCAGAAGCAGGTTTGGTGCCTGCCATGTCTCTGGGTCAGTTGCCTCAAGTTGACACCCCGCCCTTTGCCCACCGTGTTTAGTATGTCCCCATCTCAGGAGACATACCTGGAGGGCTGCAGTGTGGGCCCTTAGAGTTCTTGATGACTAAGTTTGGAGACTGGACACAGGAGCGCTTCCTGCGGTCATGTTCCAGAGCCCTCCAGGAGCTGGAATGAGGCTCCTGGTGCTTGGATAGGGCCTGGAGGTACCCCCCCACAGCTATGAGGTTTTATGGTGCATGAAGTCTTTTGGCTTTGAAAGTGTGTCCTAGGGTTCACACTCTCACACACACACACACACACACACACACACACACACACTCTGAACTATGTGACTTAGGCAAGTTCCACCACCCCTTTGCCTACCTTTTATTGTATCCTGGAAAGGAAAATTCCTTCCTTGTCGGAATAATGCCCCCCCCCCCCCAGGCAGGGGTGTGACTTCGGATTGCTTCTTTGCTGCTTGCCTCTGCTCCAATCACCCTGTGAAGTGTTGTGTCACGAGACATGGCTCACAGCCCTTGGGATCCTTACTGTGTGCCCAAGGCTGGCAATGAACTCTCCATGTAGACCTAGTGCAGCTTAGGCCCGTTCATGATGCAACTCACTTCCTCTGGACAGTGCTCAAGCCTGGCCTACACATGCTGTGAGTTAGTCTTCGTAGCAGCTCAGGGAGGGATGTGACACAAAGCTTCCTTTTTTTTTTTGAGATGTGATGATGGGTTGAAGCCTCCATGGATCTTCAGGGCCGGCCGCCCTCCACCACACTCTGTGAGTCTGCATGGCAGGCATTATGGTCTCCACAGGAGTATCACTTGATGTTGACCTACTCCAGGGGCCAATTGTTCCAGGCCTAGCCTTTTCTCCAGAGTTCCAGCTGCAGGGTCTGGGTCCACCCTGCACAGAGCGAACAGGAGGCTGGGAGGATGGGGCCCGTGTGCCAGAGCAGCAGCGTGCCAGAGCAGCAGCGCCATGGCTGGATGGTTGTCAGATACCTTGTATGTCCCACTTTCGGGACACATGCCGCTGTGGGGGTAGAGTCAGAAAGGAGGTGGCTAGCCATCTTAGAGAGCTAGGGCAGGGTGGACTATGCTCCCTGATGTTTGCTCAGGATGGCTGTGCCACACATGTGTGGGTCTCTGGCTCCATTCCGGATGCCCCAGGGTATGGCCTGAGTGGCGACTGAGTGCTTATTTGTTTCCCTATCCTGGCCTGCATTGTGCCATTCTCCTGCATCAGCCTTGCTAATTCCAGGGTTACAGGAGTCCGCTACCTTGCCCAGCGTAAAGCTGAGTTTGTTGTTGTTGTTTGGGGGGTCTGGAGACCAGGTCTCACTGTGTAGCCCTGGATAGCCTAGGCTGGCCTTGAACTCCTGGATTAGCTAGCTTGAATGCTGCCACCCGAGTGCTTCAGTTGGCTTGAGCTTCAATGCTTTCTATTTCCTTTTTTGAGTCGGTCTCACTGGACCTTGGCTGTCTTTCCTCTCCCAAGTGCTGGGGTTACAGGCGCGCCCCTACACTCAGCTTGCAGTCTTAACCCTGTAACTCCTAGTGATTATCTTCTGCAGCCACTTTAGCAAGTCACTGCACAATCACAAGGGTTACAGGGTGCTGGACACAGTTCTGAGAGGCCCCATTATTAGCGAAGCTGTCATTTTGCATCCAGAGAAACTAAGACTAAAGGACCTGCCCGACCTCACAGAGGCAAAACTGGATCTTGAACGAAGGAAGTGGCTATCTTAAAAACCCAACTTTCCTCTTGAAACTGTCTTCAGTCCCTTAGGGTATCTGACAATGTTTGAAGATACGGTCAAATTTGGGGTGAGAGCCTTGGTGTTTGGTAGAGACAGGGCTGATGCTAATTGTTCTGTGAAAACAGCTTATCTGAAATGTCAATCATACACCAGTCTTGGCCCGGACACCCTTTCCCGATTCCATCAGTAAAACTTTACTGCAGGGAGACAAGTCATGCTGATGCTCCTCGTTATCACCCTGGGTGAGGCCCCAACCTGGCAGAACTGTGTAAAAGCACTGTGTTCCGGCGGCTTCTATGGTAGATACTCTTGGCCATCCTTTTCGCGCAGAAGGCCTGAATAAAAATGTATATCAGGCACCAGCTAGGCACGGGGTAGCTCCTCGATGCTCTTTAAATGGTCCTAGTTATTAGAGATTAAGAGATGTCATAGTTCATAGTGGTATGTGATGGAGTGCCAGATGACTCACACAGCCAGCACGTGCCAGGGTAGAGAGAGGAGGGAGGATTTGTGTTGAGTGCTGAAGCACTCTGTCAGCAGGAGTGGAAACCCAGAGGCAGGGCTGCACTGTGGGGGAAGTCCATCCAGAGAAGAGGGGTCAGTTGAGGGCCACAATGGGCAGTAGGATGTCGGGGAGCTGTGTTAGGAGTCTCACCCATGGGAAGGTGTGGGGACTCACTAGGGAAGCTGTGACTTCCGTTCCTGTGGGAGCTGCAGAGGCCCTGGCTGGGGTGGTGTGCAAACTGAATCAGGAAATGCTTCCAGGCAGAGCCAATAGGTCTGGGAGATTTGGGACAGGAGAGTTCTGCTGAAGGATGCAGAGTTCGCTTAAACTGGGGTGAACTTGAAGCAGAGGTGTCCAAGAGCATCCGCATACAGGTTGGTAGCCCCGGGGACAATGCAGGTCGCAGACGCCTCCCACACAATATCCCCTGTTGGTCTGGAACATGCTGCCTTCACACCCTAGTGCGTTCCCTAGTTGGCATTAATTCAGGTAGTGGTGTACACGGACTCTGGGGTGGGAGCAGCTCCCAGATCACGGTTGTGTCTGGCTTTTCCCATCTGAGAGCTTCAGTTTTCCCCTGTGTAAATTCCATGAGGTCACACAAAGCACAGCAGAGGCCAGCGGGTAATAACACTATACAACTTTATCTGGTTTTGTTGTTGGTCTTAGCCAGGTTAGACAAAAGTTGCCCCACTGAGCTAATCCCCAGGCCAGTGTTGAGAAAGGATCCTACTCTAGCCCAGCCTGGAACCCCCTGTGTAGCCAGACTGGCTTCAAAATCCCCACAAGCCACGTACCTGGCTAGAATCAGCCCTTTTAACCTGAAGTTGGATAGATGTTGCTATCCGGCCCTGACCCTGAACTCCTCCGTGGAATGATTCTGGCCCCTAATTACCCTCCTGCAACCTTGCCAGAGTTGGGACAAAGTACTTCTTATTCATAACAAAGGACACTTGCCTGTGTTTGTCTTCCTTTACCACCTTTAATGATTTGTTACACCTTGATCTGCCTTCATTAGAACAGAGCAGGAAATCCCTTTCTGTATGAATATGTATTGGGCCTTATTGAGGGCCAGGCAGAGCTTCGCACCCTAAGGATACCCACTTTCCTGGTAGTGCCTGCCTGTCCTTTGGTAAGCAGGAAACAGGCCAGTTGGACCCTGGTTCTGGGAATCCTCTCAGGTTAATGGAGGAAGAAGATAAGGCGGGCGTTTCTGAGAGCTGAAGTTTCTCCCCTTCTAACTGAGGGAAACGAGTGAGGATGCACATCCACAGTGCCATCGTTTCTGAGAGCTTCTCAGCTGTGTTCCAGCACGGTGCATCTTTGTCTGGAGACGCGCGCGCCTTCTCTAATCCAGGCCACTTGATTTGCATATCTTGACTTGCTGATGAGGCTAGACTCTTAGCTGTTTGTACTTCCTTTTCTCTGAATTTTCTGTTCTGTGGATTGTTTCCTTGCTTCTGTGGTGGCCAGCCAGGTGAGCTGGCATGTAACTGAGAAGGCTATTGTGGAGAAAATGGGTTATGAGGAAGTCCTCGCAGGGGCTGGAGACAATGCAGTTCTGATAAAGGGCCATTGATCATGGTAGGGTGTCCCAGTGGATAGCTGCGATCTGTCAGCCACGTAGCCTCACGATCAACCTCCTAGCTCAAGAAGTATGAAGAACTGCCCCCACTTTACAGGGGAAACCAGTACGGAGTGCTTGAAGGCATAAAGGGAAGTATTTGGTCCTGAGGCGTATCCACTCCTGAGTGGCCCTCTCACTTCCGCAGAGGACCCAGGTGGTAGGGAAAACTGGTGGGCCGTCTGGGAGTATATGCCTCGCACACTTGCATTAGCATATGTGGGTGTGGAGACCACAGGGCAAGGAGGTTTGGTGCTGACTTAGACTTGAACTTGCTCCAGTGTAAGTAGCAGGTAGCGTCCATTGGTGTGGACAGACACCTCTTTTCCTGCCTCCCATCCCTAAGAACTGCAGGGACTGGCTTTCTCTCCGGCAACTGTGACATCAGGGGCTGCATCTTCAAGCGCTGTCTTCTCTTTTGCAGATCATGGCTCCTTGGCCGGAGTTGGAAAATGCGCAGCCCAACCCCAATAAATTCATAGAAGGGGACTCGGGAGGTCCGCAGTCTAACACAGCAGCCAAGGACAAGGAGACTAGCAAAAGTAAGTGCCCCCCGCCAACAGGGACCCTTTGAGGACCCACAGAGACCCAGCGCTCATTCCTCATGGCCTTTACTACTTGTTTGCACAGATGAGAGTGGGGCTCCAGTAACCAAGGTAGAGCTTCTACCCTCCTATTCCACCGTGGTCCTGATAGAGGAGCCCCCCGAGGGGAATGACCCCTGGGACCTGCCTGAACTCCGGGACACCGGGATCAAATGGTCAGGTAAGTGGATGTCCAGGAGGACCCAGCCAGTCCACAGTCTCTACAACATAAAGGGTTCTAAAGAATGATAACTGGGGGACTCTTTGCTCCTTCAAAAAGTACCAGGGACCAAGGCCCTAGCGCTCAGATTCTGGGTAGGTGGATTCGGTCGCAGGCGTGGGATTACAATCAGCCTGGGGACCAGTTAGCCAGGACAGGCGCGGGTGGTAGGAGGGGAGGGAGTTGGGTAAGAGAGGGAGAAGAAACTTCTGTAGCTCAGAGGGATGACTGAGCTTGCAGCTGTGCTGCTCTGAAGGTGCTATGTGGAGCCTGTGACCTGTGGCCTGTGACCCTGCATCGGGTGGCATTGCGGCTCCCTCCATTCTGATTGGCTGCTTCTCTGGGCCCATGGAGGAGCTCTCCTGCTCCTGTCTGACTCCAGGAACAGTCCGGAGGGACCAGTGATAGCACCCCAAAGAGAATTGCCAGGAGCCAGCTACAAATGGAGCCCACACCTCCAGGCCTTCATTCAGGAGCCAGTGGTGATGGAAGGCAGGCAGGGTGTGAGCAAACAGCTCTGTCCCAGCTGGAAGGATGCTAACTGCTATGCTGTCCCGCCCCGCCCCGCCCCCTCCCCACAGAGAGAGACACCAGAGGGAAGATTCTCTGCATTTTCCAGGGGATTGGGAAATTCCTTCTGCTTCTGGGCTTCCTCTACCTGTTTGTATGCTCCCTGGATGTACTCAGCAGTGCCTTCCAACTGGTTGGAGGTAAGGACCCCCCCCGCCCGAGGCCTCAGGGCTGGAGGTGGGTTACTCTTGACTCCCGAATGTCAGGTGGATGCAGCTCACAGGCCGCCTCAAGCTTCAACGCGGTTGGGAGTGGGCGAGGACAGGCCTGCTGGAGCAGCTCAGACTTTCCCCACCACCATGGAGAAGGGGACTGAAGCTTCTATGTGGCTCAGGGGGCTTAAGCCAGGAGCCAGGTCTGGAGTTGATTGTAGCTATCAGAGTCCCTTCTATTGTACCTACACCCCAGCAGGAAATTGCTTGACTCCTTTTATCTGGGAATCCCTGCTGTCTCTAGGCTTCTGTCTACAGAGTATGGGGAGAAAAAAAAACTATCTCTGGGGCCAAAGCAAATAGGAAAGATCAAAGCTGGCTCTTGCTGGGAAGAACCTGTAGTAGATAGATGCCTTCCCTGGACTGAGCCCCAGACAAAATGGCCTGTGTTCCAGAAACCCAGAAGTGAAATGGCCATGTGTGCTCAGTTAACTTTGGACCCTTCACGGGTGACAACAGATAGATAGTAGCCCTGTCTGGAGTAGTCCTTCCTCAAGGAAGGACCAAGGCTCAGAGGTCACTAAGTAACCAGACTTTAAACACAGCCTGTAACGAACACAGTGGGATTCCAGAGCACAGATCAGGGCGACTCAAAAGCCTGTGGGTTCTGCTTCTCTTGATGCCTTGACCTAAAGAGATAGTTAAAAAGTCTGGGTGGATCTCTATGTGACCTGGCTGTTCTGGAACTCCCTATGAAGTCCAGGTTGCCCTGTAGCTTTCAGATCCACTGGCCTCTGCTAGGATTAAAGGCATGCTCCACCACACCATTTCCAAGCCTGTTCGAGGGTCTCACTATTTCTGGCTGGATTGGAACTCACAGATACCCTCCATCTCTGCCTCCCAAATTCTAGGATTAAAGGCGTGGGCCAGCGTGCCTTGTCAGGCTGATGTTTTTGACCTCAGTGATGCCTGCTGGGTGGTGGGTCAATTATGCCCTAATAATTACCTGAGAGGTAAACTGATATTGAATGTGGTTAAGTCGTCTCCCTGGCCCTAGGGGACATTCATAAGGAAGGGGCTTGGCTTATGACGATGACCATCTTGGACAATTCACACACACCCAGCCCCTCTCTAGGCACCCATCATAAAATGGGTTGGAGAAGGACGGAGGGTCACATAGGTACACTCCCAAAGAAACCTCTAGAGTGAAATGACAAGCCAGGCTGGCTGCAGCTGGAGCTGCCAGAGGATGGAGGATAGAGGAGTTGGGATTTATGCGAAGCCTGGTCCGTGATCAGAGAAGACTGGAAGGAAAAGCCGGCTGAGCTGGGGTAGGGCTGGGCTTTAAGATTGGAAGCTGCAGAGAGAGAATTGCGGAGATCATGGCTGAGTGTGGAGGTAAACCGGTCATATACCTGGAGCTGCCAGCCGGCTCACGTGACCAGACAGCTTCCTTCGGGACAAGGCAAGGGGAAAGAACCCAGCTGAGCTGAAGCCTGGGCCCCTGCTTGTACTCACACCGACAGCCACCATTTGTCTTCCAGGAAAAGTGGCCGGCCAGTTCTTCAGTAACAACTCCATCATGGCTAACCCCGTGGCGGGGCTAGTGATCGGGGTGCTGGTGACCGTCATGGTGCAGAGCTCGAGCACGTCTTCATCCATCATTGTCAGCATGGTTGCTTCTTCGTGTGAGTTGGATTTGCTGATTCTCACAATTACCTTCCCATCCTTTTTTTTAAAACTTATGCCAGTGTTCTAGCCAAAATTAATTGGTGAGAGTTCTAGCCAAAATTAATTGGTGAGAATTTTTTTTTTTTCTGCATTGTGTGGCCAGCCTAAGCTATGCAACACAAGCGCCTGGGCCACGTATGGTGTCCTGGAACTCATCTGTCCCCTTAAACTGACTTGTTTCCTGGTGTCCCCTGAGGTGGCTTGAGCTCTGCCGTAGAAGACGGGGGTTTTAAAGCAAGGTCCTTAGGGGTCAGCTAGTGCCCGGGAATGGGTTCGGGCAGGTTCCTTGACCTCCCTCTCTAGATTTGAAGAGCTGTGCGCTGCCTGCCCCTCCCGCCCCCAGAAGCTGAGACCTGCCTTCTGAGACAGCTGCAGTGCAGGCAGCCCACGCTGGGCTGTGTAGACATGACAACCCTTGCCTTGCTGGCTGCTCACCCACGTTCTTTTCTGACCTCCAGTGCTGACCGTGCGTGCCGCCATCCCCATCATCATGGGGGCCAACATCGGAACCTCCATCACCAATACTATTGTGGCTCTTATGCAGGCAGGAGACCGGAATGAGTTCAGAAGGTAGGAGGCTCAGGGCAGGCTTGGTGCCCACCAGGTCTGTCGTTTGGGTCAATCAATGCCTTTGTCTTGTCATGAAGGTGTGCCCTGCAGTTCCCTAGGATTAGGAATCTTAGTTGGTTCAAATCCACTTACTGTGATCTGTAACAACATCCAGCAACACTAAGTTATTCTAGTGATTAGAACAGTCATTCGAGCAAGCCCCTGGCACCACGACAGGATACAGAAAAGGGACGCACTAGCTAGACACGAACTGCTGGGTGGTAGCATTAAAGCAAGGCCGGTTGGGGCGGGCTTTACTGTCTTAGTCATAGATAATTATAACTCCCGAAAACTCCTATTTTTTTGGCAAGCTCAACTAACTACCCTGTAAGCCGGGCAAAGGCAAATACAGTTTGTGACGTGTAAGATATGAAAATATGGCAGTTGGAAATGGGCAAAGGGAAACTCTCTTAAAATGTTAGCATGGGAATTAAACTTGTTTCCCAGCATTTCTGCCCAGCGATAGACTCTTACCAGAGCTTATTAAAATGCAGAAGCAATCCCCAACTTGCCTATGATGCCATTGTGGTTTGGTCAAGCAGCTGACATTATAGCAGGTTGTTGGAGACAGGTCATGTTTGTCGTGGCGGCTGGTTGGTGACGGGCTATCGCAGCGGTCCATCTACCGGAGCCACCTCATCGGGTCATTGATGACATGTCTTGATGGACTTGATAATACACATTATTAAGGCAGGCACCCTTTAATTTCATCTTCTCATCAAGCCAGGCAGCCTTCCTCATTTGCCATCGTATTCACCTTGGAGCCAAAGCAGACAAAGTGATGTCATTGACTGGCACAGCCAGGGTTCCAGTTAGGTTTCAGTTCTGGAAAGTTTGGGATCATCTCATGAAGACTTACATTGATGGCTGCCTCGTAGTCTATGGGATAGAAGCCTGAGACCTATTGTGGTGCCTTTATGCTTGGATATAACTGACTTATCCTATCCCCGTCCTTAAACTATTTCAGTACATTACTATTTCAGTATGTGGAATGTGTGTGTGTGTGTGTGTGTGTGTGTGTGTGTGTGTGTGTGTGTGTCTCCTTCTCAGAGGATTGGATCATTGCCTTGGAGATCTACAATAATTACTGTATCCGGTGTTAATAGGGCTCTTGTACATTTTTTCCAAGCACGGGGAAATGTTTGAATCATTTTCTATTTCATCAGAAATACAGAAGGCTCTTAAATGGCCTTCTCCGGGATGAATGAGAGGAGCTAATACCATAGAGCAAACATTGGAACTTGCGGTACATTTCTCTTACTAGTGAAATTAGGTATTTCCCCGTCTGTTTACCAAGTGCTTTTCTCTTGAAGGAGAGTATCATATACCGAGTACACCTAGTGGCAGGTGTTTCCTGGCATGGAGATATTTCTAGAAGGAACCTTTTCAATTCTCATTGAGGAAAATTGCCCATGGCAGTGTTTGCCTGGCTTGGGCTAGTTCCCTAATTTGGAAGTTGTGTGTCTCGGAATTTTGGGGATTTTTAAAGGTTTAGAATTTTGGGGCTGTTAAGATGGATGCAGTACTTACTGTTCTTCAGAGGATCCGGGTTTAGTTCCCACCACCCATACGGTGGCCCGCAACTGCCCATAGTTCAGGTTTACAGGCTTCTGACGGGCTCCTGTGCCAGCGTAGTGTGTGCACGCACACACACACACACACACACACACACACACACACACACACACACACACACACACACACACACGCAAGCTAGTAAGAAGATTCTGATTGTCCACCCGCTGCGCCTCTCCATTTCTCAAAGGCCAGGCTGCCTCCCAAGCACTTTCAAGTGGTCTAGGTGCGATTGAAGAGGTGGCTCATGGGTTAAAGTCACTTACTGCTCTCGCAGAGGACCTAGGTTTGAGTCACGCTATGGTGATTCTCTATATATATAACTCAGTTCCGGGTGGTCCAACAGCCATGGGTGTGGTGTCTATATGCGCGCGCAGAGAAAACATTCATAATTTTAGATTAAAAAATGATTAGTGCATTTGCCTGCATGGGCGAATGCACCCCATACGTGCCTTCTGACACTGGAGCTGTGGGTTTTGGGATCCAAACCCAGGTCCTCTGGATGAATAGCCAGTGTTAAAATCATTCTCCAGCCTTAACTTTGTGGGAAAGGAGGGCTTGGGGGTGGTCTGGAATTCTGCTAAACAGAATTTTGCTGGCTGACAATGTCCTACACTTGGTGGTCTCTCTCCCTTAGGGCATTCGCAGGCGCCACCGTCCATGACTTCTTCAACTGGCTGTCCGTGTTAGTGCTTTTGCCTCTGGAAGCTGCCACCCACTACCTGGAGATCCTGACCAACCTGGTGGTGGACACCTTCCAGTTCAAGCCTGGAGAAGATGCTCCAGACATTCTGAAAGTCATTACAGACCCCTTCACAAAGCTGATCATCCAGGTAATGGCTACGTGAGTCCAGCCCTCACAAAACAAAAGCCATGGGCACACTTGAGAGTGTCAACTTCATTCCCTTGACATCATCAGCCTGGCTTGCCCTCTTTACTGCAACCAGCCGATGGGGTGAGGTCAGGGTGATGAGCCCTTCTGAGTGAGCCTTTGTGGCCACCTTTTTCCCCCCATTATGGTCAACCCAGCTTATTATGGTTACTGTGCTTCCCACCTGAGGCCAGTCATACCCTCTGGTCCGTGGTGTCTGCCCTAGATATGATGGAGGAAGGGGCAGCTGATACTTGAACTTGAGCTGAGACAGTAGGTGTCTACAGACTGCTGGCTATCAATGCCCTTGCCATATAGTCACCTTCTGAGTATCTGCCAATCTCTAGGGGGGTAATGATGTCTTCGGTGGGAGGTTAGGGTTGGGTGACGGGGCATTGGCTCACAGTCACAGCCCCCTGACGCTCTCCATATCTGCCAAGTGTCACAGCCAGAGTGTGCTGACCCTTCTCCCTTTGTATCCCTTTAGCTGGATAAAAAGGTCATCCAGCAAATTGCAATGAATAACCCAGTAGCCCACAATCAGAGCCTGGTCAAGATCTGGTGCAAAACCATAACCAATGTGGTAAGTGTCAGCAGGGTTGCTGGGCAGATGGCGGGCGATGGGCCAGTAGGTGTGGGGGGGAAAGAAGAAATAAGGCTCCTGGGAGGCAATCTGGTCCTTTCCTTTCAGGGAGACAGCCCCCTTTGCTGCTAGGTGTGTGCTCCTTCTTGGCCTGGGATAATGCTGTGTCTCTCACGGAAGGCTGACTTGTTTCTGCTGCCTGTGTGCTCTTGCCCTGGAGACTGTGGAGTCTGTGTCCCCTCAGCACAAATGCTGGCAGCAGGGACATCTCCAGCTTCCTGAGGAGGCACACATACTGTGCCTCTCAAATGGGAAACTTACCCAACCGGCTGTGAAGTGTGGGTGTGGCTCTCCCTTAATTCTGGTGTGTGTGTGTGTGTGTGTGCGCGCGCGCACGCTCACGCATGCGCTATAGGCTGATGATAAAATAAAATGATGAAATAACTGCCCAGTGTTCCCGAGAGTTTCCCACTAACCCTTCCAGGGGTAGAAGGTATCCTATAATGAAGCCACTGCATAGGCCCAATGATAGTCTCCCACTCCGTGCACACACTTGGCTGTTTCCCGCCATGGACACCTGTCGTGTTTGTCATTTAGACTCAGATGAATGTCACTGTTCCCTCACCTGATAACTGCACCTCGCCTTCATATTGCTGGACTGACGGCGTACAGACTTGGACCATCCAGAATGTCACCCAAAAGGAGAACATTGCTAAATGTGAGTGGGGCCTCTTGGCTGGTAGTTCTCACCTGCATATCTGAAGTGTGCCTTGATGTGCTTTCGTCAAAAAGTCCGGGGTGACTGACAGCTGCTTTGATTCTGTGGGCATTAGTCACTCAAGTGAACAAGCCACTGAGCCCACCCGAGACGTCCACATTTTAGGAAGATTTTCTCCCTTTTCAAACAGTACGGTATCCCCCCCGATCCTTCCTATCCCACCGAATGCTGAGCGCTGAGTGTCTCCCTACAGTGTGGTTCTTCCCACAGTCAGGTGAACTTGTCACCCCCTAATGCTCTAGGCAGTTCCCTGGACCTGTCACAAGGGCACATTGGAAGGACTTTAGTTAGTAATGCCTCTGCACGCTTTGTAGTAAAAGTTACATGGAGATGAGTGGTAGAAGAATTGGGCTGGGTACCCGGGCTACCCGTCACAAGCTGTGACTTAAGTACCTCGCCTCACCTTCCATTTCCGGGAAGTGCAACTTCCTTAACATAGGGGTCAGACCTGGTGGGACCTGCTTGTCATCACAGGAGGTTGAGGGGGGAGAAAGGATCAAGCTCAGACAGAACTATACCAGATCCTGTCTCAAACAAGCAAACAAACAAAAACAATAACAAAAAACCCAGGGTTGGAGACATGGCTCAACTGTTAAACTCACACACTTCTCACGCAAAGAACTGTATTTCCTACATCAGGTCACTTACAACAGCCCGTAACTATACTTCTAGGGAATTCTTACTTCTGGTCTCTATAGGTACCTGGGACACACAGAGACACACACAGAGACACACACAGAGACACACACAGAGACACACACAGAGACACACACACACACACACACACACACACACACACACACACCCTTTTAAAATTACCTTAAAGCTTGTTTTACAAGGCAAACATCAAAGAAGGACATCGTTAGCCTTCCCTCCCAGGTATCTAGTTGCCACTCAGGATTGTTTGCATGAAAAAGGAGCAGATGTCAGTCTCTGGGCAGGGTGGCTCCTGCCATTCTGACAAGGCTTTTCTTGTGTTTCTTCAGGCAAGCACATCTTCGTGAATTTAAATCTCCCTGATCTTGCTGTGGGCATCATCCTGCTGACTGTCTCCTTGTTGGTCCTCTGCGGCTGCCTGATTATCATAGTCAAGCTCTTGGGTTCTGTACTGAAGGGACAGGTGGCTACTGTCATCAAGAAGACCCTTAATACTGGTAGGTCCAACACTCCATCCTGTTCTGGCCTTTTGGAAATGGTATTGTATGGACAGCTTTGATTTCTCATCCTGCAATCTCCTCTATGTGGAACTCATTCTCAGACCCACTGTACCATGGGGATTACATTGTTTTCCCTGGAAATTGTCTGGGATGTCCCGTGTAGGTCAGGGAGGGAAACAGGTACAGGCTTCCCATTGCAGGGTGGGCAAGGTCCTAAGAAAGAGGCAGAGGGTTAGGCCTTCTCCTGGGCAGGACTTCTATAAGCCCTAGACTACCATGAGTCTGCTATTAAGGAAAGGGGAACTGGTATCCCGCCTAGCTCACATTCATCCTCACCGTGCCCGAGTCTCTGGAGAACTATGTTGGCAATGAGACTCAACTCTGGTTCAGCCGGAGCTCCCACCTGGTGAAGAACGCTACCCGATAAGCATGAAAATGTCATTCCTCAAATCTCAATTTGCCGTGAATGTCTGCATCCCAGGGTTGCCCTAAGATGGGGTGGGGGCTGTACTTAAGTGCTTACCAGAGCCAGGGACCCAATTCCATGTATGTAGCCAGTGTTTGCAGCTTATCTCTGAGTGTGAGATGATGTCAGACCGGGCTAGGGAAGGGGGCAGGGAATCCCTGACTCCGTCTCTTGTCAGTCTGAGTTTGTTTTATTCTCAAACTGTATCCCTGGCTTGTATGTGAATGTGCAGGATGACCCAGACTAGGGAAGGGATCTGGCAATCTCAGATCACGTGTGGAGTTCAATCCTTTGCTCTGCTCCTGGGTCCTAAGGAAGTCCCCACCCCCCCATGCCACCCCCATGACATGTCTTCTCTTTGTGTCTCCCAGATTTCCCCTTTCCCTTTGCCTGGTTGACTGGCTACTTAGCCATCCTCGTGGGCGCAGGCATGACCTTCATCGTGCAGAGCAGCTCCGTGTTCACCTCTGCCATGACGCCGCTCATCGGTGAGTCTTTGTCCCCGGGCTCTCCCGTCGGGGCGCCCTGGCCTCTCCTCCCCTCGGTCAGTCACTTGGGCTCACGCCCTGTGTTCTGCACTGTCTCACCAGGTATCGGCGTGATCACCATCGAGAGAGCATACCCTCTCACGCTGGGCTCCAACATTGGCACCACCACCACGGCCATCCTGGCAGCCTTAGCCAGCCCAGGAAGCACCTTGAGGAGCTCTCTCCAGGTCTGTGGGTGCAGGGCAGTCTGTCTGTGGTTTGGAAAATCAGTGGTTTGGTTTTAGTTTTGCTTTTTTTGAGCTTTGAGTCAGAATATCCGTGGTCTCAGACTCATTTAAAAAAAAGGGGGGGGGGCTTGGAGAACTCCTGTAACTGAGAGTAAAGGGCACACATCACTCTACCCAGCACGCAGACTATTTTCTCATGAGAGCCATACCTTCTGTGTCACATCCAAAAGGCGTAACAAAAGTGCTGGGGGAAGCCACGGGGAGCCAGGGGTGTGCACAGTCAAAGCTGTGAGTTCCTAAGAGGCAGGTGTGCAGGACATCTAGACTGAAGTGAGATTCAGAGGAAGTCCCTTGCGTCCTTTCCATCATCTCCAGACTTTTGTAAAGGGATGCGTGTTCACGGGACATAAAGCCCTGCACAGGCCCAGGTAGACGCACACCGGAAAGACACTGGCTGAGCTCCTAACCTCTAACCTCTCCAACGTCCTCCATTTCAGATTGCCCTGTGCCATTTTTTCTTCAACATCTCCGGAATCTTGCTGTGGTACCCGATCCCATTCACCCGGCTGCCCATCCGCCTGGCCAAAGGCCTGGGCAACATCTCTGCCAAGTACCGCTGGTTCGCAGTCTTCTACCTCATCTTCTTCTTCTTACTGACCCCGCTGACGGTGTTCGGCCTGTCTCTGGCGGGCTGGCCGGTGCTGGTGGGCGTGGGCGTGCCCATCGTCCTGGCGGTGCTCCTGATTGTGTGCATCCGGATGCTACAGTCTCGCTGTCCCCGCATCCTGCCTCTGAAGCTCCGGGACTGGAATTTCCTGCCATTGTGCATGCACTCTCTGAAACCCTGGGATAATGTCATCTCCCTGGCCACCACCTGCCTCCAGAGACGCTGCTGCTGCTGCTGCCGCGTGTGCTGCCGCGTGTGCTGCATGGTGTGTGGCTGCAAGTGCTGCCGCTGCAGCAAGTGTTGCAGGGACCTTGAGGACGAGGAGCAGGATGTCCCAGTCAAGGCCTCTGGGGCCTTCGACAACGAAGTGATGTGCAAAGAGGGCCAAGAGGAGGCCGTGGGCCAAGATGAGGCCATGGGCATGAAGGTCATGTCCGACACTACGGTGTTCTAGGGGGACGTCGGAGAACCTGGCGGGAGAGGCGGACCTAAGTCCCGTGGGGTCCACCTCTCCCACAACTCTGCTCCTGGGGAGGAACAGAGCTGGCTGGCGTAGGCTCTAGCTGTCCCTTCTACCAGAGTCCCAGCCTATACATACAGGGGAAGGACTTAACTTGTCCCCTGCTTCCCAAGTGCCTGCCTCCCTCTCAGAAGACAGAGTGACAGATTGAGACTGTGAATGTGGCCCCGCAGATGACAACATCCACTTCTTGCCTAGAATATGCTACTCTCAAAGACGGTCCTCACCCGAAGGACAAGTGTTAAAAGGAGGCGTTAGGGAAGGTTGTTTGGAGGGCCTATGTAAGAGTATATGTAAATAGATGTACAAAGCTGGTCTTTCTTGGTATAAAGCTTCAACTACATTTTCTTCCTTCCTTTCTTTTTTTAAATCAAAGTCTACTCCCCATGCCCGGTATCTCCCCGCCAGTTCATCCCTGCCGCCAGATCAGCCAGTTCAGACAAAATGAAGTAATTGTTTGGAGCCCATAGGTGTGGGTCTTCCTAGTTTTCAGCGCAGGGCAAGCCGTTCTCCATCAGAGCTTTTCAGCTGCATGGGTATGGCCAGTCCAAGCAGTTGGACCCTAGTGCCCTCATCTCCAGCTTCCTGGCTCGGGGTTCATGCCATCCGAGCATGGTTTTCACGCCTACAGGTCTTCACTGGCCTTAATGTGGCTACATAATAATGGCACTCTCTTGGCTGGATAGCAGTATTCCTGACGGGACTTTAATAGACCTGTGTCCCAAGCCCTCTCTCCGTTGCTGCCATCCAGGACCATCTGCCTGTGAATTTCTCATCCCATTTCCATTGTGCCAGGAGACTTTCTGGGCCAGCTTTTAGTGGTGTGTTTCATCCATCCACTCCCCCTCCCACTCAAGTCTTCGTTGGGACCCCTCCCATCTTCCATAGTTGAGCTTTGTCCTGCCTCCCTTCCGCGCCTACAAGGGAATTCTCGGGAGAGAGGAGAGGAGATGGGGAGTGGCTAGATGCCCTCAACCATGATGAAGCTCAGAGTTTGTGGGAGACTGTGGGTAAAGGGTGAGCTCCCGTTCACACCCGATAACCTTTGCTGTGTCTTTTAGAGCCCGCCCCCCCTTATCCCACCACAGCTTTTCAGCAGCCCCCCCTCCCTACCCTCCCCCTCCAGTACAAACAAGCCTCAGCTTGATTCAGGGGAGGCTGTGTGGCTATAGACCACAACACTGTCCTCCACATCCTCTCCCAACACACTTCTCCGTCTGGACAGGCTGTCATGCCAAGTTGAGCCCTCCTGTAGATAAAAGAAGTTCCCAAACAGCCATTTATGTGGCATATTTACAGCCACGCATCTGTACAGAAGTACTTCATAAGTTATGTAGTAAATAGTGATTTATTTTATAGTGTCTCATTTGGAAATGAGGCAGGGTTCTTTTATGTACTGTGAAGAACAGAAAGCACCTTTGTATATTTTGTAATACTGCCTTTAAACACGCCTCTGAGGCCACGCCGCCCCCTCCCCCTGTAAATATGTAAGTTACACCCCAAGAGGAGGCTTTGCACTCTGTTGATTTCATTAAAAAAAAAAAAAAAAAGAGGATCCCTGTACCTGTGTCAATTTTCTTTCTAACTGGTTGAGGGAAGGGAGAAATAAAAAAGTCACCCCACTCCATAAACGTGTGTTGCTAACAATTACAGGATTCCAAAAGCAGAGGACATCCTTCACAACTCTCAGGTTTTAATTTTGGGTTTTTTTTTTGTTTGTTTTTGGAGTCCCCAGGGCCTCTTATGGACAAAGAGGACTTAGTGCCACCTTCTCTTTTCCAGGTCATGGGGATTAGCTAGTGAAAGCTACCATAGGTTTTATGGTTATGAGCGCTACTGGCTTGGGATGCGACTCTGAAGGCCCAGGGCTTGTGCGAGCGCCCATGCTTTTGCAGTACACCTGACTGCAGGCTGCCTGTGCTTTCTAGGGGGCTGGAAGGGCTGGAAGTGGGAGGGGCCGCTTCACTTCCCTCTGGCTTCCCCATCAGCCTTTGCATCTAGAGGAGGGAGAAGGGAGAGGTCGCTTGTATTTCCCAGAACGCCATTGCCATCTTTCGGTGCCCCATGCCAGCCAAAAAACGCACGCACACGTCCAGGCCAGTTGAAGCAACTGCTGGGGGCCAAGTCTCACTGCTCAGCGGTGCCAAACTTGGCGTCGGTTGGAGGCCTAGGCTCTGAACCTAGCTGCCCTTTGCCATTAGAAGCTGGGTAGTACTGCTTGGCCAGATCCTCGGCGAAGACTGATTCCAGGACTACTTCCTCACCACAGCAAAATCCATGTTTGCAACACACTAGGCGCTTTGAATCTTCTCCTCTGTATCTTGCATGTATTGTCCAAGCCAACATAAATGCTCCAAGGAAACATGCAATTGTTTTTGGGACTGAGTCTCAAGTAACCTAGGCTGGTCATTCATCCCTTGCTTGCCAACAAAGTTCATCCCCCGTCGACAACTGGAGTAAATCAATGAAACGCTGATGTGGTGTTGTATGTCACGAAGCTTGGGGCTGTTTGTTACACAGCACATCACTGGTACTCAACTGCACCTCAAGTGTAGACATTGTAGTAAGTCCCAAACCTCCCTGCCCACCTGATCTCTAGGGCACCTTTGGTTAAATTCCCTCAGAATGAGCCTCCTGTCTATTGTGGGAGAGCAGACTCTATTTACTCATTAGCTTTAGCTAATGCCAACGGTGTGGTATATTAGCAGAATAAACTGTCCTCCCGTGACCCGTGAGTGCAACATTTTTAGAGCTGCTGTGAGGTAAAGCCACACCTCTCATTTAAGCCCACGTTAATTACATAGAAGCTGAAGGGATTCCAGGGCCTGCCTGCTTATGCCAAAGTCGGGGTTCTGTAGTGTACCCTTTGTGGGTGTTCAAGGCAAATACATCATTACCATCCCTTACAGTATCAAAATTAATTTTTAAAACAAGACTGAAGAGAGGTCACTGAGATGAAAAATATTGTAAGGTGCACTTGAAATGAAATGTAAAATACACCCTGGATTTTGGAGATGTTTGAAAACAGGGATATAAAAGTCTTACTAATAGCCTGTATATTGTGTACATGTTGCTACTATAGTAATGTGGATATTTATGTTAAGTATAATATGTATGTTACATTATCTATTTTTATTTTGTTTTTTTAGACAGGGTTTCTCTGTAACTTTGGAACTTGTCCTGGAACTCCCTCTGCAAACCAGGCTGACCTCAGACTCACAGAGATTCACCTGCCTCTGCCTCCCAAGTGCTGGGATTGAAGATGTGTACCACCTGGCTTAAGTACAATGTATCAATGGAAGCTGGGTGCAGGTGCCGAGAACAAAATTCAGATCCTTTGGAAAAGCAACTGCTGGGCCATCGCTCCTGCCCCATACTCGCTGGCTGGTCTGACACTGTGGCCGTCCCCTGTCTCTGCCTCTGAATGCTGATATTGTAGGTCGTTTGCGTCCACACCTGGACCCTTTTCCTTCTTAAATATGGCTACCAGGACGTTTTAGTACACACGTGATTCCAGGTGGATCTAAGGGTTCCGGGGACTTTGCCACTCTGGGGTCATTACTTTCTTTATGCTCATTGATCATATTTACCTCCCTACCAAGTTCTATACTTCCAAGGTTTTTAACATGTGCTGGTGTTGTACATCGAGGGTTTGCTGTTGCTAGACGGTCAGGGGTGGTGCATGCCTTTAATCCCAGCTCTCGGGAAGCAAAGGTAGGCAAATCTCAGTGAGATAGAGGCCAGCCTGGTCTACAGAGCGAGCTCCAGGACAGCCAGGAATATCACACCCTTATTACTGTATGAATCAGACATTGGGGAGAGCTCAGTGCTACTCTCAGTCAAACCTATAACAACGATGGCATTTTAGATAAGGATGGCTGTGTAGCCTTACATTCCAGTGCACCTGTGGATATAATCAAACATAGGGGTGATAAAATCCATATGACTTCTTTCCTGGGAGTGTGCCAGATATGGGGACTGGGAGAGACACCGCATTGTCTAATTACATTATCAGTGTGCTGAGAGGATCATCAAAAAGCGGAAATTGTTAATGTCAACAGAATGCATTGAGACAAGGTCTGAAGAATCCCTGAGCAGATTACGCTGGTTAGGTTTTGGGAGTGACCTTTTGGGAGTGACCTAAGCTTGCAAGTGCCCTAAATTTGCACAAACTTAAGCAAAAGTTACCTTCAGCATGTTTGTTTAAATAACGCTTAAATAGCGTTGAGGTTCAAGTTGGGGCTGTTCACGTTTAATCGCATTCACTACAACCTTAGCCACCGGGTGTTTCTTATAAATGCCTATACTGGGGCCGGGGAGATGGCGGAACTGGGAAAGACTCAGCCTGAAGACCTGTGCTGATACTTGAAAGCCACGTGTGGGAAGGGTAGGAGCGAACTCACCCCCAAAGGGTTGTTTCCTGATGTCAATATAAGTCCCATGGCACATTCACCCCTCCTTCTACACATCGTGAGCCCCCCCCCATTCACCCCTCCTCCCTACATACTGTAAGCACACACACACCAAATAAATAAACTGAAATGCCTACATTGAAGAAAAGCAGAACTCCATTCTACCAATCAGAGGTAGCCAACAAACAGACCAAGGGTTTCTGGTGGACAGACTGAACTGAGCGACTGTGATACTGACCAATGACAAGTTTCTTTTGCTTTATGTCAGTCTTACTGGAAAGCCCCCCTCAGGAATCACATCTGGGTCATGGCTGCCCGACTCCTAAAGTCTTGTCTGCCCCCACAAGCTCTGGATAATGCCTTAGTTTACGTTTCCAGCAGTCCAGAACTCCGAAGTTCAAAGTCCTCCACTGAGTCCAGTGGAAACTTGATGATAGCCACCTGGCTGTAAAAGTCGACAGAAGGCAGGCAGGCTGTGTGATCAAGTTTTTCCGACCGGCTAAAGTCCTCAGTTCCAGATAGCACGCAGTTGGGCTTCTGGGCAGCAGGCCTTCCAGACAAGAAGAGATCTTTAGCCAGATGTTGTAACACACCTGGATTCTTAGCATACGCAAAAGATATCTGGCAAGGTTTTTCAAGACAGTGCTTCTCTGTAGCTTTGGAGTCTTGCCTGGAACTCTCTCTGTAGACCAGTCTGGCCTCGAACTCACAGATACCTGCCTGCTTCTGCCTCCTGGGTGCTGGGATTAAAGGCATGTGCCACCAACGCCCGGCTTCTGGCTACCTTTTTTCATTCCCACATTTGCATTTCCCTTTTGGGGCAGGATCTTACACATCCAAGGCTCTCCTCAGATTTGCTGTGTAGCTGAGGGTCACCCTGGACTCCGGATCCTCCTGCTCTTCTTCCTGGGTGCTGGGGCGGCAGGCTCAT